CTGCAAAGACTCTTGGCAGCCTCACCTACAGGCACACATTGAGAAAGCCTTGGGAGAACACAGCTGCAAGGAGATGAGCCTATGGAAGTTCTTCTGGAGGTGCTTCTCATTCAGGTCTGGCAATGGAGGGGATGAGCTCAGAGTAGGAGAGGGCTGCACCAGGAAAACTAAACACCAACCCCATTGAGCATCTCTCAAGAGCATCCCCAAAGCAAATTAATTCACAGAGTATCTGGGACATGAATGTTCTTTTACGAAGGCAGGCCTGAGTTTAGCACATGTGCAAAAGTTGGGTGTGGTGTGGGATGAGTGCATCCAAAGCAGAGAAACCTCAGCAGAGACCTTTGCAGGTTCGAACACATCCTCTGTCACATCCAGAGTGAACACCAAAGCCAAGTGTTTTAACTGGACTGTCTTCAGTGAAAACCATGATTCAGGCTTCTATGTTTAAACTGCTCTGACTTGTATGTAAAAGTTAAGAGGAAAATGCTCTCTATCCAGGGCAAAAGCAGATGCCAGCTGGGCTGGTTTCCACAAGAGACAGGCACCTCTTTCATGGGCTCTTCACTGGCTCTTCCAAGGGGCCAGTGTTTCTTTCACTAAATCAGCAATGACTGGTTCACAACTCAGAGTGCCTGTTTCCCACAGAGAGCTTTCCAGGCCAGACAAGGACATCTGGAATGTCCATGTTCACGGGCAGAGTGATGAAACACTTGTTTGCAAACCCACCATCTTCCCAGATGCTGCTCACAGAACGTAAAATACGACATGGGTTGGGTTGTTTGCAGGTCAAGGCCTCTTTTCAGCTGAAGTTAAACTTCTCTTCCTCACCGACTCTGTTTGTTTCTGCAACTGAGTGGCAATAAGTGCATGCCTGGAGGGGTTTCATCACCTCTCTGTGAAGTCAGCAAAGCTAGTTGAGAAATTCCCATCTTGTTGACATGCAACAAGCCATCACTGATGGGTACCCATTCACCCATTTGGAACACCAAACTTCTTCAGGGAATACTTTTTGCCCAGCAGCATGACAGCTATGAAATCGTCATGCTGCTTCTCCTTTGGTTCCATCCGGCCTAGACCTGAAATCTGGAGAAATGAGAAGTCTGTTTTTTCCTGGTCTGCCCACAAAGTTCAAATTGGAACTTTAGGAAGCACCTCTGTGCACCATTATTGTTCCTGCTTCTCAGACTGGACTGTCTGGGGCTTCTAGCCCTCCCTTCCTGCCCATGCAGGGCAAGGTGCATTGAGATGTAAAGCTGTCCAAACAATATTTCTGTATCCAGAAGCAAAACAAGCCCAACCTGGGGCAGGAACAGTCCCAGATACAAGAACCCCAGCAGCAGTCAGAGCAGGGGAAAGGGTCTGAGAAAAGGGAGGAGAAAAAAGGGGGAGAAAAAGGCAGGAGAAAGAGGATAGAGAAAGGAAACTAAGGATAAGGAGTTGGGGCTTTTAAAAAATAAGCCCATGCATGACATTTTGCCCATAAAATTGCAAGGCATAAAGATGCTAGCTAAGGAATATTTATAAAGCAGGCATGCTTGCTCCTAGTGAGAAGAGCTTAGATACTCTCCAGCTCTCAAAAACTCTCAGACTAGCCAAAAATCTGTGGCTGGAGGACAGCCAGCCCATACCCAGGCCGAATGATGACAGCCCGTAATGATTTTTGTCTCACTGCAGACGACTGGTGACAAGCACATACGAGGCTCAGCCTTCTCCTTGTGCAGCCCTCCCATTTGATTTCCTTGAGTGCAGGGACAAATAACAAAAAAATCACTGAATGAGGGAATAATTAATTTTGGAGGGGCTGCTGGAGGTCAGAAGCCTTGGATCTGGATGTAAATAATTGAGATTATAAATCTTAATAACAAACACTTCCATTTTCAGTGCTTCTTGTGTCTTTTAAGACCTCTGCTTGGCCCAAGCCCTGATTTTTGCCCTGCCATGCTGCTAATTAAATGCAGAGAGAGAAACTCCTCAGCCACTACCTGGGCACCTTGGATGGACTGGATGCCTGCTTTTGCCCCCCCTTAACCACCAGCAAAACCCTCTTTGCCCCTGTGGTGCAGGATCAGGCAAGGGCTGGCTCCTGCCTCCTGGCAAAAGCCCCTCAGACACCTCCAGCATTGCCACACGGCTACCAAGGGGCTGTGCAGCCATGGGAAGGGGCTCGCACAGCATCGCTGCTTTCTCTCCCTATTGAACACGGGCTGCATCTCCAGAAGAAGAAATCGTGGCTGGTGAGGCTCCAATGGGGCCACGGACCCGATGACACAGAGACCCAGCTCAGAGCACGTCCTGCCCTGCCCTCTAGATGCAGGCACGGGAATGCAGCACAGACAGAAGCTGAGGAGGAGCTGGTTTCCCCCCTCCTTTACTTCTCTTCTTGCCTCATCTTCCACCCTCCAAAGTGCAGGAGGAGCATTGGTGAGGCAGAAGATGCTCAGACATCTGGCTTTGATCGATGAGGGACAGCCACCCCTGCCAAGGCCACAGGGAGGTGAAAAGGAGGTGGCTTGCACACGAGACAGAGCTGTCTGCCTTCCTGCAAGCAGGCTCCCGAGCAGGCTGTGTTCATTTGGGGTGAAATAAGGCATGAAATGAAGCCCAGATCCACCAGCCCTGCTTCAAACAGCTGCCAGCAGATACTAAGAGGATCCTGCCAGAGGAGGAGAGTGCTCAAAGCCGTGCTGTAAGCACTCAAGGCTTACTAAGAAGGAGAAATGATGACAGAGGGGAAAAGCAGCCTTGGCGGTGCATTAAAAACTGGAGCTGGGTGGAGAACATCCCCACCTGCTCGCCTCTCCCTCCTGAACAAACAACTCGGTTTGCTGAGATTTACTGCACAAAGGCTCTCTCCAGGTTGCCCCGAGCCAGCCCAGCTGGGTGCTCACTCCCACATTCCCTGGCCTTTCCCCTAAAAGCACCACGGGCTCCCCTCTCCAGCCCTGCTCACCCAGCACTGCGCTGCCGATCCGGGCACCGAGCAAGGCCAGAGCTGGAGAGACAAGGGGCAGGCACTGGTGTGGGGAGTAAGTAATGGTTCTCAAGGAGGGGCTGTCTCTGCACCTCCTTCAACTGCATCTGTTTTGGGACTAATATGCACATATTTTTATGCCCAGCTCTGTAAATTATGCAGTGAACCTCAAGGCTGTGACTTCAAAATAGGGGGACTGGAAAAAGCACACATACACACACGCAAAAAAATAAGAACTGCCTGTTCCAAAAGCCATTTCTGGATGCTGCATGGCCCTAAATCACCACAACAGCATCACCAAAAACCAACCTGGCAATAGATTTGGAACCTCAAACCCAATTCAGAGATGTTCCCTTCTGCACAGCCTGTTCTAGGCTGATTCTAATGTTGAGACTGAAGGCTGAGGCTTTAAAACATCCCTTTACAAGTCTTTCTCAGGTGACTGATTTCCTCCTCCATCTCATTAGCGGCTGCCAGCAGATGCTGTTTCCCCAGCAGAAGCCACACTTCACTTGTTACAGTCATCTCCAAACCACCCTGTCATTTCTCCCCTCCTCATGGCCACAGCGAAGCCTGAAGAATATTCATCAGGAGGCAGACACAGCAGCAGCTTTTTATGGTTAAGCTCAGGTCATTAATCTCTATTGAGACTTTTCATAATCTTCCTCAGCTTCGTGTTTGTTTAACTGTTGGATAGTTGCTCTGTGGAGCTCTGGGTAATCACAGATTAAGTGCTTTTTAATATTAATAGCTTTTCATTAATGTGCCAGGCTCTCTCCCCTCCAGAGTCCAGGCAATAACTATTAGCACTGAGCCTGCAGCTCCCTGTGGTGAAAAGGACTTTTTTCTTTGGGGCCAAAATTCCACAGCATGAGCACAGATCTTGTGTTCTGCGGCTGCTTTGTAGCAGAAGGATTTTAGAACAGGAACAATTCCCAGTGCAGGGAGCTTCCTCCTGCAGATGGCTCAGAGAAGCTGCTCTGGAGTCACCCCAAAGTGCAGCATGCTCAAGGGCATGTAGCAGCACCGCTTCAATGCCCTCATCCTTCTAGGAGAGATCTTTGCTTACATAGCCCCAACACCAAGGCACCACAAAGCAGGGTGGGGCAGGACATGTGGCCACAAAAAACCTCCCAGATTAAACATGAAACCTGCCCAGAAGTGACGTGAGGCTGCAAGCCAGCCTTTCCCAGGGTGGTGTGATGACAGTATGAAAGCAAGAGCCCCAGCCCCTCCACCCTGGCAGGGCCTCCAGGTGCCAGAGGTGCAAACCTTGCTGTGCCACTCGTGTAGGACCATGTGAGGCAAAAGGAGCTGACACTGTGCACCTTCATCCATGTGGTAACAGGGCTGGCCACTGGTGAGTGCCAGAGCCCAAGTCACATCTTAGTGTGCACAAATCATCATGGGCTGAGAACGGGCTAAGTGTGGAGCCACACTGCTTCTCATTTAGCCTGTACCAGGACACAGAGCACACACTGCAGAGGCACTAAAGAGCTAGTCCAACATCTCCAACACCTTCCTCATCCACCTGTATTCCTTCTCTCAAGCCTCTTACATTCTTCAATATCTTGGTCTTGTTTAAAAGCCTTCACAGGAAACATGAACACACTTCTTGCCAAGTTATTCACCTCTAAAGAAACTTCCTACCCATGCCACCAGCATGTTAACCCTCTGCTTTATAAATATCAATGGACTCTGTTTTGCATGAGCCTGAAGCTCTGTGTATTTCCCCTCCAGCCCAAGAGCAGTTGGGATGAGCTGGCTCAGGCACCCATGACATCCCCTCTAGCACCCTCTGCTCCATGTCCAGCCCTCCCCTGGGATGCTGAGCTGCCCTGTCCCAGGTGTAACACACAGCACAAGCTGCACCAGCAGCCAGATCATCTCCTGGCCAGAAGGAGTCCCAGTCCCCTCTTTGCTGACGATGAGCTGGGACCAACATGTCCAGGGCTTGCTGAGCAGAAGCCCCTCACTCCTCCACAAGCCCACCATCCTGCTCCCTGGCTGGAGGAGGAGACCCCCACTATCTGGAGTGCAGGGGCAGCTTGAGGTGGGACTTCAGTGCCAGGGCTTTGTCCACCACCTCTGGGGGCTGCAGGATGTGCCACTGGGCCAGGGGCCGGCGGGGGTTGGACAGCATGTCGGACCAGTGCCGCAGCTGGTTGCCCGTGGCTCGGCAGCCCAGGAGGAGTTTGCCAATGGGCTCATTCTTGGTCACTTTGTCATGATCCCAGACGGAGATGACCACGTCCACATTCTGGGGGGGGACACAAGAAAGAGGGTCAGTGGGAAGAGGTTTGCTGCAGTGGGGACCTGCTCAGCCCCGGGCACTTCAGGGAAACCCACCTGGATCTGACTGAAAGGCACCTCAAAAACAAACACTTCGTTGAAGTAAGGGCTTAAGGTGTTTTTCTTCACACTTGTCCTTTTTTTTTTCCATTTCTTCCTGTTCAGTATGAGATGCACCTTGACAAAAGGATCTGAAGAGAGAGAGGGCACACCTGGCACAAGTGGCAGTTTTTGACTGAGGAACTCAGCCACTAAACAGCTTTCCTCAGCCATTCCCAAGGAGACCATGGCATCCCACTTGTCACTCCTCATGGTGACACAGCCACCTCAGAGCTCGCTTCCTCCTGCCAAGCTCCCTGTACAATCCAGCCATGACATCTCCTCCTAGGAGACACCTCCAGTAGTGCTCAAAGCTGGAGTATTTGTGCTGGGAGTCAGCCAAGGGCTGAATATGGTGGTCGCAGCAGGAAGCAGGTCTTAACACCAAGAGTTTTCAAGGCTTTGCAGCTCTAGGTGCCACCATTGAGGCCTGGGCAGGAATAGGAAGGTCTGAGCACAAGCAGCCCCTGAGAGTGACTGCCTCAGAGTCCTGAGAGGACTGACCTGAGAGTCCATCAGAGTCCATCCGCTTCAGCTGCCTGGCTTCCAGGATGAGCACGGTCAGCTTGCCGGTGCTGGGGACGTAGCGCAGCGAGAAGCAGATCTCACCCAGATGCTCCTCCTGATGGAGAGATGCCAGTAATTAGTGCCAGGCAAAGGAGCCAGCTCACCTGAGGCTGGAGTACCCGGCTGGCCCCAGGTTTCCTGAGTCTCCCCCACTCTCGAGCTTGCCCCTAAGGGCTTACTTCCTGGGGAGGTGGCAAGCCAAGCAACAGCACATCCTTCCCAGCAGTTTCCCACCCACCAGGACCAACCTCCACTTTACTGGCCACCGCCAGGTCACTCCACTGCTCGATGACATGCTGCAGGTCGACACTGGCCAGGGGCAGCCGGACCTCACCAATGATGTCATGCTTGGAAAAGCGATTGAAGTCATAGATCTGCATCACCAGTGTGGATTCAGACACCTCAGCCTGGGGTACCTGCAGGGGAGGACCCAAAAGCCTGGACTCACTCCTCAGTGGTGGCCCTGTCCCATGAGGGTATTCCTCTCTCGCATTCCTGGTCCTGACTGTGCAAGCATCTCCTAGAATTGAGAGGCTTTTGTCCAGGGAGCAGTGTCTATGCAACACTCTTGATGGGACCAGAAAAACATCACTGGCTTTGGTTTGTACCTGGAAAGTGAAGCTCTCGTTGAAGATGGGGTTCAGGGTTTTGCGGTAAACCTTGGTCTCATATCTCTTCTTCCTATCAGACGTTAGGTAGACAATCACATATGGGTCAGATGTACCTCCGCTGTCCATGGCCTTCAGCTCAACTGCCTGCTTCACACCAACCTTCAGCTGGAGAGGAGTGAGGACAAGGTCAGCGGGTGGAGAAGGATGGGGTCAGGCAGCTCAGTGGGGGCTCAGTGGGAAGTGAGTGCAACACTGAGGAACGCCTTGACACCATGCAGGCCTGAGAGCTAGTGGGCTGCAGGCAGGGGCGAGAGGGCATGTCCACCTCAGTGGGCAGCAAAGAGTGGCCATGCAAGAGCATGGCTTTTTCCCTGCTGTGCCATGGCCATGAGCATCCCCACCTCCTGCATGCGGAAGTTGTACTCCAAGGAGTACTGCAGCTTTCCTCGTCGCTTCTGCTCTACTGCCTGCTCCAGGTCCTCCATCTCGGGCTGCACCTGTGGCAGAGAGCAACACTCAGCCATGTCCCTGCCATGCTGTGCTCTCACCATGCCTGGGGCCGGGCAGTGCAGCAGCAAACACCTCAGGGGGAGGGAGGGAGAGGAGATTGAGGGGAAGGCAGCACGCACAAGGTTGATCGTCGTGGGGTTGCTGACAGTGCACAAGCCGATTCTCTCCTTCTTCTTGGGCTTCTTCTTGGTACAGCAGCACTTGATGATGCAGATGAGGAAGAGGAGGAGGAGAATGGCCCCTGCCACAGCCACGGTGATGAGAGCCCATTTGGGTACTGGTGCGATGTTAAGGGAGTGGAGTTGGATAGAAGAGTTAAAACCAAGCAAAACATACAGAGTACATTTAAACCTCTTCCTGGTCCTTCAACATTAAGGAGTTGTACTTTCAAAATTGCCCCTAGAATCCTAGACAGGCCCATGCAGGGAGACTGAGACTGAAAACCATTCCCCAAATGGGTAGCAAAGATACCCTCTGCTCCTGAGGCAGTGTGGTACTACTCTGCAGTAATACCTCCCTGATGGAGCCCACTAGAAAATGGAATTTGAAGGGAGGATGAAATGAATACCCAGCCTCAGAGTCCAGCAGCCCCAGCAGGTAATGCTGCCTGGGAGAGGAGGGCAAGAGACGCTGTACTCACATGGAATCCAGCTAAGCCAGCTGTCCAGGGAGCCTGGCCAAGCTGTGGTGGTGATGCTGGTGTGTGGGGAGGCTGTAGTCCTGCCCTTCCTGGCTGCCACTGCCATGGCTAATCTGGGGTGACCTGGGAACACAGGCAAAATTAGCAGGGTGGGGATTTCCTCTCCAGCAGCCCATGTGCTGTCCGTAGCCCAGGGCTCTAATGAGAACAAACACAATTAAAATATAGAGCTCAGGGTAAGCGATTAGAGCTTGGCCACATTGACAATGAGATGTGAAATGGAGCGGGAGGGAGCTGCGGGCAGGGAGGGCTCTGCACCAGCCGGCCCCTCCCATGCAGCCTTCTCCTTCATATCCTTGCAATTCTGCCTGCTGAAAGCAGAGAGATTGGGGCTCCAGGGCGCTTTGAGAAGAGGAATCACTTGGCTGCAGGGAACAAAAGCCAAGAGCTGTTTTGTGCTGGCTCCTCCCTGGCCAGGCAGACTGAGCTGAAGGGTTTGCTCAGCTCCAGGAGAGCCCCATCATCAGCTAACACCCCTTTTTGGCTATTTTCCCTAAGGTAAGGTTGGCTCCTGGGCTTGCAGGAGCTGGTGGCGGTGCTGTCACCGGGCTGGGGCCACATCAGCTCAGAAACTTTCCGTGAGCTCGGCCTGTGCACATGGCAACGCTGACACAGCCTCAGGGAAGGCTTCAAATTTAAAGCAGGATGGTTTTACAGCATTGCTTTCCCCATGGCAGAGCTCTTATTCTAGCATGAACACTTCCTCATAACCAAATTCCTTTCGCGTCAGCGGACAGGTGTGCCACGACACGGGTGGCACCCAGCCCTGGTGCCCGGGCTGGCAGCTCTGTGCCAGGGGCTGCCTAGCCTCCTGCCCGGCCTGGGTCCTGCTCAAGCAGCCAACTCCACCTCGCTCTGCCCATCCCAAGGTACTCCTTGCATGGGGATCCTTCCCTGGGAGCAGGGAACCACATCTGCAGTTCCCTTTGCTGATCCTGCAAAGCCAGCAAGCACCCTTTCTTTTTCCAGCAGTGTGCTTTGCTGCATGTGGGTATGGGGCTGGACAGACGTGGGAATTGCTGTCACCCCTGTGCTGTCATTGCTGGGACAATGAGGAGCAGGTTAAATGACTCGTCCAGGGCCACCAGGGACTTCTGTGTCATTGGACACCCGCAGCATCGCTCAGATATTTTAGAGGTGCCAGGCTGCAGCTTTGGAGTGAAGGGCGGACAGGACAGCACAGGCAAGCAGGCATCTGCCCAACACACAATTTAAAGTGCCAGTGCATTCTGTCCGCCACAGGCTGTGTCACATTAGTCTAACACTGACCCTGGTTTAAAAAAACCTTTATCCCAACCCCAAAGAATGAACTGAGCTACCGTTTTGGGAATGATGGGGACAGCCCTGCTGCAGTCTGGCACCAGAGGCAAAGTCTCAGTGGGCAGTCTGCTGGGAGCATCGAGCATCCATGTTCCTGGAAAAGGGGCTGGGGGAACCCTGACTCTCGCTCCCACCCTGAGCTGATGGGGTTCCCAAATCCAGACTTACCCATAGGTGTCCTTCGCAGCGTCAGCTGGCCCTCCCTGCTGCCCAGGCTCCAGTCAAGCCAGCACATGTGGCAGGGACATGCTGTGGGTGAGATGGGAGCCCAGCGGGCACGCAGCTGAGGGTGCAGAAGGGATGGTGGCTGCACTGCACAGCCCAAACAGGAAAGTCTGCTTTGCCAGCTCAGGAGCCAGGTGGCCCCAGCAGCTCTGCCAGCCCCACCTCGCCGCTGACCCAAGCCGTGTTCATGCAGGCGAAAAGCCAGCGGGGAACTCCCTGCTGGACCAGGAAGCAAAACCTGCCCTCCTGCCTGCCAGAAGCTGGAGGGCATTGCTGTTCCACTTCAGGCACTGGGAAATTCACTTCTCCAAGTTATCCCTGCAGCGATGCTGGGCTGGACTGTGTGGCTGCAGGCACAGCACAAGGGAATGGACACTTTCAAGGGGATGGGTGCATGACTGCATCCATCCCTGTTGATCTCTGCCCTTGGGAAGCCCAGCTCCTTGGCCCTCAGGGCATGCACTGTGTGAGGGCCTGTAAAACGTGTGTGTGGGTGAACAGGAATGCTCTACTGCAACATGGCAGGAAGGACAGACAGGACAAGGGGATACTGCTTGGGTGGTTTCATCCTCCAGCGCCAACAGAAGCACCAGGCACACAGCCAGGAGCAATTTCACAGGCTTCCATTGCATTAAATTTATGCTTGTAAACTTCTTCCCTTGCTGCCAATTCAGCAAAGTTTGCCCAAAACCTGCCCTTATCGCCACATAAATTTGGGGTGGTGTCAGAAGCAGGGAGCCATACTGCAAAACTGCCAGTGTCTAGTGGCTGAGGTAGTGATGGGAAATGCCCCAGAAACCAGACCTGTCCCAGCTCTGCCCCACCACCCTGACTCACCAGTTCTTCCAGATTTTCACATGGCTACCAAGGCATTGCCACAGTGGGTGCCTAGCCACAGGAGAGGGGCCAGGGCTGCCCTTCAGCCACCCAAAAAATAGCCACACTCACAAGGGCCTTGCACTCATGATGTTCAGGAAAGCACCATCTCCAGGAGCAGGAGATGCATGAATGATGCTGCAGGAATGATGCTGCAGCAAACCTCTGGGAGAACTTTTTGCTCTAAACTGGAAGTCCCAAGGTATGCACAAGAGAAATGCAATATGGGGTTGGGGGAATAGGGAATATTAAATCTTCCAGGGAAAGGGGGTCTGCATATGCACACTAAAAGCTGAGCATGTAAGTAGCCTTTTCAACAGGTGGTTTGCTAGAGACAGCTAAAAGAGAAGATATTCAGATCTTGGGGAGAAATTCTTTACTCAGAGAGTAATGAGGCACTGGAACACATTGCCGAAAGAAGTTGTGGCTTCATCCCTGGAAGTGTTGAAGGCCAGGTTGGATGGGACTCTGAGCAAGCTGATCTGGTGCATGACATCCCTGCCCTGGTGGAAGGGGTTGAAACTAGATGATCCTTAGCACCCTTCCAACCAAAATCATTCTATGATTCTATGACCTCAGTGAAACCAAGCTGCACAGGACCCTGCTGCCTTCCCACATTTTGGGAGGAGATTTGGTGATCCTGGTGACAGCTTGATGTCATGCAGGTGGACAACTGTTCAGCCTTAGTGCATGTGAGTTTGGTCTCCATTTGGTCTCCAAGGCTGGGCAGGCTGCAGCAGAGGACCTTGTTCCAGCATTGGGGCAAAGGAAAAGCTGCAGGATGGTCCTGGGTCCCTGAGCCCCTCTCCCTCACCCTCTCCCCCCCACATCCCTGACAGTCACAGTCTTGGACAGAAAAAGGGTGTTGAACTATCCTGGTACCATGAGCCCCACAGGGCTGGGTGCCACACAGCCTACCCAGAAAAGTAAAATCCTAGCCCCAAAATCAACCCTGCTCAGGACAGCAAGTGACACATGGCTTTCAGAAAATTAGGGAAAAGAGACCCAAAACCATTACAGTAAAATGGCAAACGTGCTGCATTCAGCCACATTCTGCACCTGCCTTTGCCCCCCGCATCCCTGCATCCAGAGTCACTCTGGACAGGTACCCCTATTTTTTTCGGTCAAAAATACAACTATTCAGGGGCTGGGAAATGAGAGGACTGGAGGCACGCTATGAACACTCCAGCTGCAGAAATAAGACATCACGGCTTGCGGACAGCGATCAGCCACTGAGCACAAGCGCCGAGAGGGCTGCGGAGGCAGGAACAGCGCCGAGAGCCCTGCCCAGGGTGACCGCGGCCGTGTCCGAAGCCAGGCCCCGGTGAGCGCGATCCTGTGCAATGCCAGCCGGGAAATGCAGTCTGCCCGGGCAGGACGCCAACCCGCTGGCTGCCTACAAATCCCAGCGCTCCGGGGAGCGGAGCTGCGCCCATCCCGGCTGCTGCCCGCTTCCTGCAGCGCGCCGGGGGAAATATAAACAGCGGGCACGGCCGGGATGCTGCCGCGGGACGGGCCGGGCTGGCCGGGAGCAGAGGCAGCGCTCCGGGTGAGTGAGTGAGTGAGTGAGTGAGAGAGTGTGCGCTTTTCTCTCCGGCAGAACCCTGTCTGTGTGCAGGGGGTAACACCTGCTCCCTGCTAGGCAGCCGTGGGAGGGGACCAGCAGCACCCCCTGGAATGCTTTCCTGGGCTCTGGCAGCGAGACGTGTGCCTGTGCGGGTCCGGGTGTCTGCCTGCGAACAGCGCTGCGGGCTGTCGGGGCAGGGAGATGGAAAGGAGAAGTCGGGCTTGGTTTGCAGTGCTTGGAAGAGCGAAGCAGAAATTAGAGGTGGATTCTCCCGCCAGGAAGGGCTGCTCAGCTCCGTTACCCCTTTGCATTTAACTTTGACTTTCAGAGAATACTTGGCTGGGATTATGTCAGAGGAAAGCTCCTGCCTGCAATGGGCTGGTGTTTGCCACCCTCTCTGGGAGGAGACCCCTTCCCGGCATGGGGCAGAGGGTGGAGGAAGCAGAGCGATGCTCAGCATCTCCTGGCTTCCCAGGCAGCCCTGGCTGGGGGAGTAGCCCTGCTGCAGGGCTTTCTGCTCCTCGGGCAGTCGGGGAGTGCACATGCAAGCTCTGAGCCCCCCATGGCAAGGCTGTGGCTCTCACGGCCGGCATCAGCCAAGTGTGGTGCTTACTGGCTCAGGCAACATTTTGCAGTGCCTGAACAATAAACATTAATTAAATAAAACTGGAGCACGAGACAGGTCTCTGTGGATACCCTGACTTGTCCTTTACACTGCATGTTGGCTTTGCTCTTTGTTTGCCCAGCCCCTCAGTACAGTAATCAGGTAGGGTCTGACTGGCTCACAGGGCTGTGGAGGGGCAGACCAACCCCATCGCAAGAGTCTCAGCCTTTATCCAAGCCCTCACCACACACTTCTACTTACTCTGGCCTTTTACAGCTGCAAATGAGCTATTGATGCAGTGAACTCCCTCATTTGTAGATACAAATTCACGATTCAAGCAAAAGTGGCAAAAAAGACAAGGATGTGAACTAGAAACCTACTTGGGCTTTTAAAGACAGCCTTGTTTTGCTTGGAAAAGAGCTCCACAACAACCTTCAGCAGTTCAACACAGAGA